TTATGATTCAAAGCAAATGGTTAGTCTCATGGCTATGCAAAACAGAAGCTTTTCCATTATTTATTAATAGCAGTAGTAGCAGGTAATAAGGCTCAAGTATTAGGGAACTGAAGACATCAAATGAAGAAGTATTTTGACAGCTAATGTCTAAAAATATGAAGTGTTGTTATTTTAATTACTAAATTTTTCCAACTCTTAAGATATTAAAAAAATACTTTCTTAAAACAAACATGACAAATAACTTCTGATAGCTAGAAAATAACTTCAATTGAAATAATTTTAGGTTTTATTATGTCAACAAAGAAGTAGGAGATATTGCCTATCTTATTGTTCCATATTCATGGCAGAGTGGTAGAGCTGAGCATAAATAGAACATGAGTAATACATTTTCCTTGTGGCCTTGTTGTATGCACTGTGTCACTGAAACTTCACTGGTCTGTCTTTGAATGTTTCTGCATGTGTGCATGTAACATCTGAAGGGACATCCCTTTTACACTACCTCTCTGTGAGACTGAAATCTTTATGAATAGCAATGTCTACTTCCACCCTGCTTGCCTGCTAGTGCTTTGTTAATCAAGAGATGGGAGGGTAGAATGACCACAATTTTTACCAAGTTTCTAGGTACTAGCAGCTGTAAAATGGAGCTGTACCATTTCTTTGGCTTCTAAATGAGCAAAGGTAGATATAGTCCCAAGTTGGACTAGATTGTCCATTGTTTTCTTGAAAGCTAGAGCACTGCAGAGCGTACTTTGCATTAAGGAATTCTTACACCTTCTCTAGAGACAGCAAATGCTCCCTTCCTTTTCTGTTTCGGAGCAATGAAGGAGGAGGTAGCTCTGATAAAACACTTAGCTTCTAGCAAAAGATATCAGCCTTGATGAAATCAGATTCTGCTAGGAGGAAAGAGCTGGAATAGGTTCTCCTGAACTCAGACAGAGAAAGTCTCCAGATGATCTTCTTGCCTTCTTACTAGTGCAACACACGATGATCATGCATTTGGCATTAAAGGAAAATTCTAGTAACTGTAGGAGCCACATGCTTTTGGAGTTCCTATTCACTTCTGTCCCCCATGGACTGGCAACTCCAGCAAATGTGGACTACTTTAAAGCACTCAGGAAAATTGTGACATACATTAGATACTATAATAATCAGCCTGAAGAACTGAGATAGGCACAGTCAAATCACTTAGAAAAAGTTACAGTACATTTCCACTCACCTGATGTCTGGCTCCCTAGTAGGAAGCTAAGCAGCAGGACAGCCCTGCTGTGGTGAGACAAAGGTGTCCTGAGTAAGAATAATTTCCTGAACTAGGTCATGTCATTGTTTACTGACAAGTTCTTGCATGTGTACATGTTCACATGTGTACTCATTCACTTGTGTGTTGGAGCTTTTCCTCCTTCCTCAAATAGAAAAGGAATTGATTCTGACTGAGTTGCAGATTCCTCTTCAACTCTGAATCTGAACAACTTACTAAATGCCAAATACAGTGAGGACAGGATGGGTTTCTCGGTTATGGTTTTTGGACATATTGAAAGTATACAGTCATCAAGGCCTTGAGGAAGAAAGAACAAGTCTTCAGAACTCTCAAAGGAGTAACTTTCTTCCCACTTACGTGTTGAGCAAAGATCGTCTGACCTTCCAATAAAGAAGCTGGTATTCTTGAGAAGAAAAATTCCGACATATTTGGGGCTGATTTCGTGTCAGCAAGTGTTTTTCTGAAGTGAAGTGTTGATCTGTACTGTATTTTTCACCCACCTGGTTTGATAACAATATTTTTCAAGAGGCCTGGAAACTAGAATCTTACATCAGTGAGTTCTGGGTACAGAGAACAGGCAGTTTGGTTTCCTTTCTGTCTGGTCCTATTCAGAAGCATTTTTGGCAAGATATTCAAAGCAAAGGAATCAGTTTCCTACATTCATTTTGCATTAAATGAAACAACCGTAGAGTTCAAGTGAAGGGTGTTTTAACTCTCATTATTTATTCAGCCTGAAGAAGAAACTGGATTGGCATTCTCATTCGGCATCTTTGAAGTCCCTCAGTTGCTTCAAGTACTTTGAGACTCCCAGCTCTTATGACTGAACCTTTCACCAGTTTGAGAGATAAGGACTAGATTTATGCTTTTTTGGTGAAGAAATTAGTTTGATAGTCACAGCACACTGGTGGCTGCAGGTGTCACAATGGAACTTCCTGAATTCTCTATTCACTGTTTGTTTTTTCCTGTTGGCTTTTGTGCAGTGTAGCAGCAGTTGTTTTTGCTGATAAGCTTTGGTGATATCAACACACAATCTCTCCACACTATCACCAGCAATCTTCAGCTGTAGTCCACCACATCATGGAATTAATGCACATAATTGAATATGTGTTTTAAGCATGTCTGTGGAGAATTTTGGTGGCCTACTTCTCAGCTATTTACCATATTTTAATCAGACATTAAAAAAATGTTTTGGATAATCTGTTTTTGGCATCCTAACAACATGCCCAGAACATCATAGGTGAGCCTGCAAGGCGGTAACTTTGATGGTGTGTATTTGATAACATGCTAATCAGCGTTCAGGTCTGTATTTTGATGTGTTACACTAGCAAAGAGCCAAAGATGGTACATATGGAATTTGAGATATCTGACACAACTATAAGTTGTTCAAATATTACAGCTATTAAGAATGTGGTGACTATGATATGTGTTGCTTTTCCCAGAAGTCTTTCATTTCAGGGGTGCTGCTTTTATCTCCTAAGGCTGCTCTGGCTTTCACGACCCTCCCTGGGACTTTGTCATCATTAAAGGGGTTCTGAGACACTCTCCTACTCAAATAGAAGAATTTCTCTCCAAATGTCACTGCTGCACTGTCAGTTTTCATTATTGGCCTGACATGCTTTTCACCATAGCTGGAATAGGATCTCTGTTTTCCATATACTGATGCTGAGGCCAAATTATTTGGCAGTGCAATCGAAACAGTCAGTAGTATGTTGAAGGTTCTCTTGGCTAGAATTCCTCAGCCCCAAAGTAGGGATTTAGGGTTGGTTTAGGCCTGTGTTTGTCAGCAATTTATCGTGCCTAAGCCCCTGACATTTTTCATACGTGCCTGGTATGCACACTTAGCATTCTACAGAGAGATGTCTAGAGACATGCATAAATATCTAAGGTTTTCTGAGGCATGTGGACCATGTACATATACAGCAATCTAGGCAACTAAATAACAAATAAGACAACAGATGTAATATCTACCACTTTCCAGAAGCCCAAGTTCCACTTTTACTGCTTGCGTCATGTTCTTTTTAGTATCCAGAACGTGGGAGCTCTCACAGACACCTGGAAAGTTGGTCCCCTGGGGTAGCAATGAAGTTATGAAGTAAATACAGAAGTAAGACGCAAGAGTGGGTGGTGGCATTTTTGCTGGATGTTCTCATTGCTGTTCAAGAGTCTCCCAGAGTGCATCGCTGCTTATGGAATGGAGCATTTCTTAGTCATTTTCCTATGTATTCAAGTCTGTTCTTGCATCTGTAAGTCTGTTAATTGCTGTAGCAATTTTTGTTTGATCATGGTCCCAACTGATGGGTCAGAAGAAGAAGAGAGCGTAGGGAGTACATTTTAGGGAGGTCAGGAATGCTGATTATCTACCTACTGATTTTTCAAAAAAGTAATTACCACTGGTATTTCTGAAGCAAAATTAATAATCCTTCATATTTCAGTTTAGTCTAATGAAGCAGGGGAAAAAGAGGAATGCTCTGATCAGGTGTAGATTTAAGAGCTCTGAAAGATTTTTCAGCCATGGATTAAACCTGAGTGGCCAAAGAAAGATGTGAGACCAAAGATGAAAGATCTCTCTGAGAGATAATGGCAGTGACTCCTGGTTCACTTGTGAAATACCACATAGATCTTGAACAGTGGCAGGTTCCCTTTAGGTATATTATAGTGTTTTATGTACCTTGGCTTGTAAATTAAATCAGTTGAGAACCTAATTCACAACCAGATCAACATCTCTGCTTTGGAGCTGACAACATCTGTCCTTTGCCTGGTGCAGATAGCTGTGTTGTTTGGCTCTCTGGTATTCACCTACTACCACACACCTGTCACAGCCCATAGTCTCTCTATATCTCTGTTCCTTATGTTTAAACTGGGGTTAATGAAAACTGCCTGCACAGAGATTACATGAGGAAATGTGTTTATTTTCGGTATCTTCAGATTTTTACAGTGATGGAACCAAGAAATGTATGTAGATTTATCCTGGAACAGGCAAATCTGCTTTTTCTCTTGGTAATTGTATAAAGACGAAATGATAAAAATGAGTAGAATTTGTATGATGTAGTTTTACTGATACATCTTAAATATTTTTTGAGAATTAATGCTTTTTATGTTTTCCAGACTAGGTTTTTTATAGCTTATAGATCAATACTAAAAGCGTATTCAATGTGTATTTAGTGGCATTGAGTTGTGGATGTGCCACTTTCATCTCTGTCTCTGAATTGCCTAAAGATGCTGATCAGTATCAGCAATACAGATTTTAGAGGATGGAATATTTATCCTCTTTTTTCCTGAACTTTGATTTCTGTGAATTGCTGTTAACTTATGTATATTTTGCTATCTGCATTGGCCTAGCAATTAGTAATCAGTATAGCAGCCACTGGAAAAAAACCCAAACAATTTCATTATGACCAGTTGGCCTGGTTTCTGACTCTGTATCAGAATTAGTCAGAATTGACTTTGAACAGAACAAACACAGATTTTTAGTAGAACAGAAACATATAGTGGGTGGGTTTTTTGTTGGGTTTTTTTTTGGGGGGGAGGGTTCAGCAAGGTAGAACAATTAAGATAAAAACTGTATGGACAATGACTGATGAGATGATAAAGTGAGAAAAGAACATGGTGAATTCTCTCAAAATGTGAAGTTGTTGCTGCTGAGCTATTCTTTGAAATGTTTTAAAAAAAAAAAAACAAAAAAAAACAAAAAACCAAACCAACATTTTAACTAATTATCTCACTTTTGTTTCATTCTGATTCATAGAAAATTTCACCTTGGGTAGGTTTACGCAAGATCAACATCTCCTACTGGGGATGGGATGACATGTCTCCTTTTACAAATACAACTCTGCAGTGGCTTCCTGGAGAGCCAAATGACTCTGGCTTCTGTGCCTATCTAGAAAGAGCAGAGGTGGCAGGTCTGAAAGCGAATCCATGCACTGCAATGGCAGATGGTCTTGTGTGTGAAAAACCTGTTGGTAAGAAATCTCTTATACTCAGTTACTGTTACTGTCATGATTAGCAAGCTGTTTGGGTTTTCATTTGGCTAAGAGGGATTTTTGGACAATTTGGATTAAATAATTAAAAAAAAATTACTTTTTAATTTTTTGAAAAATAGGGAGCTTTAATGTAGAAAACAAATAATATTCCTAAAGCAGCAAATATTTATTTGTGAATTAGTTTATATGGCTTAGTTTGCATTACACCAAAGTTGCCTCTAAATCAGTAGTAGTCAGTGACAACAGTGATTGTAGCATGAAAGTGGCTGTGGAATAAGGCTGATGTTTTCTTTCTGAATCTTGCTGAACATCAGTGAATATTTTAATGGTCTAAACGACTGACAAAACCAAAATTCTTGTTTCCATCTTTTAGGTTTGTTTGTGTGTAAAGATTACTGTGGCAAATAGTCACTTGACAGTTCAAATTATCATTTTCATGCTCTGATTGTCCTATGTTTCTCTTCATAGCTGTGAGGTTGAGCACATGAAGTTCTTTAAATTTCCCCTTCAGATTTATTTTGTGCATTGTCTGTGCAAAACTGGAAAATAGCTGTATTGTTGGTGCATTGGGAATACTGCCTATCAATCTAATGGTTTTGCTGTGAAATTGTCAGAGTTGTTAGCTTGTATAACCAAAGTGTGATCTTACCAATCGTTTATTTTCTTATAAGCGATTCTAAATAGTAATGTAATTGCAAAGTGTATATTGTGCGTTTGTTGCTACTGCCATCTATATTTCCTAAAAATTTCATCTTTCACAGTGTTCTTAATTTTGGGTTAACAGTTAGTTATTTACCGGATGTTTCTCTGAATAGTAAAAGATACATCACAATGGAAGAGACATCTCAAAATGTAAAGAATACACTAAGTGGAACACAAATGACATTATTAAGATGCAGAATTTTACAATTAGATCAACATTATATCCATCTGTTACTGTGGTCTTGTTTTAAGGGGTTTTTTTTGATCTTGAGGTGCTTCATAGAATCATAGAATCATTAAG